GACGGCGGCCACGGTTGCTTCTCCTGCTTCTCCTACGTCTTCTTCTCTTAGCCTCAACGAATTCTACATTGGAACCACCATCGGTTGCTTCTGCGTCTTCAACGACAGCGCCACCGTTTACGCTACGACGACGGCGACGACTGCTCCTCCTATTCATACTTCTTCGGCTCCTACTCCTACTACTCTTTCCTCTTCTTCTAGCCTCAACGACTTCTACATTGGAACCACTGTTGATTTCTTCCGCGTCCATGATGCGTAAATTAAAATTAATAAAAATTATTCCTTACTGTCTCGAACTGTCGACTTGTCGTATTGTCGGTTGAATAACAAATGACTATTGTTATAGTGTCATTTACTATATAAACGATATTCCATATTTATATATTATTATTATTATTATTATTCGACTTTTTATTTGGCTAGTCACATTAGTTTTATGCTCATTTTGATATTAGTAAGTCCTAGATTATTATTTGAAACTAATTGTTGTAATTGTTTAGTTAATTTTTGCAGTATTTTTTAATTTTAACTTTTGATAAAATCTATAAAAATTGTATAAATTGAGTACAATTTTTTAATTTAAATAATATTTAAATAAGCATTACCAATTATAATTTATAAATATACTTTCTGAAAATACGTCGGATATTGTCGGTGCGGAACCCGTATGGCCTGCCTCATCAAAAATAATTTCGGTGAACACCGATGAAACATTAGTTATAAGTTTTTAGTTGACAATAAATACATATTTTACGTGGTATGTGCATTTTATTGTTGTTATACAACAAATATGATTGCTTTATTTATAAGTTATGAGTTATGAGAATTACAAAAAGAAAATATCGTTAAAGGCAGGGGTGTATTGATATGTTTACGCGGGTTTACGGCGTATACCCATCAGCAGATTTTTGATTTCTTGCGTATACCTAATGTAAAATATAATTTTACAAGTATAGGCTTCTAAAATAACTTGAAAATTAAAAAAAAAAATAATTTAATAGTTCATTGTAAAAAATTATTATGAACTATGAAATTGATTCAAATATTTATCTGTTGAAGATAAGAGTGTACATTGTATTTAATGTATTTTGTTAACTGTAGTGAATAACATTGAATAAAATAGTATGGAGTGTGAAAATTCAGTCCATGGTTCTTAAATCTGCATCATGCAATTTATAACGCACTGCAAATGTATATTTTGTGGTGTTATATTTTATAGTCTTAATAGAAGTTATAAACATGTAGTTATAAAGGATTAATTAAATTTTTCGGACAAATCGAGAGAAAACAATTGTCGAGCGAAGCAACGTTTAAATTATTTATAGCGTTAAGAGCTCAATTGCTTATAACGTTTAAGTATCTCATAACAGTAAACAATATATATATTATTTTTATTAAAGCCCTGGTCATTTTAAGCCTTAGTGAAAAATCAAATAAAACACAAGCAAAACTTTCAAAACACAGATAGGTGTTAAAAAAGAATTACACAAAAGTCCAATATAAGTGGATCCGGCATTAGATTAAAAAAAAAAAAAAACTACAAATATTAAGGATTCACCTGATTTAAATATTACCAAAAATTTGACTTGTAAATTTTGAGCCTGAATTAAATAAAAATTTGAGTCCCCCCCCCCCTAGAAATAAATCTAAATACGCCCCTGCATCTATAGCCTTTTCAAAATTAACATACATTCGACTGGGTTCAATTGTATGTAATTTTTTCTACATTCTACAAAATATTGAAACATATGGGTATAACAATTAGTTGATTTTGATGGTAGTAAAAATAAACAAATGGGATGTAATTATTATTTACCACACCATAAATAGTAAAGAGTTGATAAAATAATTTTGAGCAACTTTTGAATGAACCGTCTATAAATATAGTGTTTTAATTGCATAAAGCTTATAAATTACGAACTATCGAGCAACCTAAAATATTTGTTTCATTATTATGCACTAACAAAAAGTCTTCACATTTAATTGTCTTAAATTCCAATTCAAAATTCCATTTATTATTTTTTGAAAGTCTCGTGAATTATGAATTATATATTTTCGTGTGATAATATAGTTAGTAATTTGGGTAACTTTGAACATCGAGCATTATGTATATTTCATTTTCATAATAAAACATATCCAGAAGTTATATTTTCAATATCATAATTTTTCAGTTCAGAATGTAAAATTGTTGATGGTCTAGTAAACATTTCATCAACTGCTTTTCATTTTAAATTGTTACTAAATTTTTGTATATTTAAAATATTTTCTGGCAATGACTAAATATTATGTTCATTAAAAATTTCAATCACAGTATTAATTGATTTTGCAAAGCACTTATAAGTTTTGATAATGCAATACCAACGTTTAACATAATTTATTAAAACATTTATGAAAACGAAATGTATGATAAACAATCACTTTTAAAGTTTTATTTTTTTCACTTTTCAATATATTATTCACGTTAATTTTCAAAAATTTTCACGTTCTCTCGTATAGAAGGGTTATTTGTGATCTAATATGTGTTCGTTATATGTAATGTCGTTACAATAAAATTTACCAGTATTTAACTTAAATAAATACAATAATAGTTCATTCTCATTGATAAAATCTCGCACCTGAGCATTACATCTGATTTGAAATTGTATATTAATTACCATGTAGAATTTATTAGAAATAAAGAATTAAATTATTTGAATATACGCTGTTTATTCATTAAATTACAAATGGCTTATGAGTCTAATATATGACGCTCAAACTATTTAATTCGTGTTCACAAGCTATCCAACGTTCAAATTAATATATTTTTATTTTTCCCATTCTAATACCATAGTTTACTATTTCTACACTCCGGATGTACAAGTGTCGAAATATTTTTTAATTTATCCAATCAACAAATGTTAACTAACAATAAAGTCGTATTAATTTTTAAACTACTGAACAATTTACTGGACCAACTTAAGGGAAGTTTTATGTATAGTAACATTATATTTTATTTAATTAAGATGACAGTGGTAAATGTTCTATAATTTACTGTCACTGATCATAATATATTGTAAAGGGGAATTAATTTTGATTTCTATGTATCATTATTATTATTATCATATTTTTTATTTCTATAAATAAACAAATGATTAATTTTTTCTCGAATACTTAATCGATTTAT